TGTTATTTTATGACCATGGCTCAGTTCCTTACTTAAAGTCTTTGCTTGTATCTCTTTCTCCATCTTCTCACTTCTGTCCATCCACCATGCTCCAGGACCTGCTTCCACCTTCCTTGATTACTGATGTACAATTTCCCCTTTCTTTCTGTTCGCTGGTGTCAGCTTCAGTGACCTAATATCCACAAGCCTTCACTCTGCTTTCTTGACCTCTGTCTCTACTCCAAATCGGCCACCCAACATGACCACTTGTAACTTCTCACCCTGGTCAAAGTTCTGTCTGTAACATTTAGAATTTGGGCTCTGCCTCTTATCATAACTTCTTAACTGGTCACTTTTCCACTAGATCACAAGTTCTGACTCTGCTCTCATTCTTTTCTGTGTTTCTATCTGCTTGTCTCTCTGTTTCTTCCAGTCCATCAGTTTCCACCTAGTTTACATATGTTGTCCATTCAGTCTGAATCCCATGGTGAACTACTTGCCTCTCATGCCCCTTACCTGGCAGACACATTTCCTAACCTTTGCTCCTAACTTTTGCCCCTTTGACTTTCTCCATCCATCTCTGACAATAGGTTTGCTAAAGAAAGTCACAAACCTAAATTGTAGGCTCAGCCCACTGTAGCTTTTTTTTTAAGATTTTTTTTTTCCTTTTTCTACCCAAAGTCCCCCAGTACATAGTTGTACATTCTTCGTTGTGGGTCCGTCTAGCTGTGGCATATGGGACGCCACCCCAGAGTGGCCCGATGAGCAGTGCCATGTCCGCACCCAGATTCGAACCAACGAAACACTGGGCCGCCTGCAGCGGAGCGCGTGAACTTAACCACTTGGCCACGGGGCCAGCCCCTGCCCACTGTCGCTTTTTAATGTATTTCTATAACCTGATGCTTCAAGTGATTTCATATTTTTCTTTATCTCATGTAGCACTTTTTCATTATGACTGCCCCAAATCTTTCCCACCATGCTCAAATGCCTCTTCCACCCTTGTCTGAGTCTTGTCTCCTATGTCACTAGCCCATTCATCTATTTAAACATCACTGCTATCTATTGAACTATCTATGTCTATCTATTTATGATAAATACATATTGGTACAAAGCATGAAGATCAAACCTCAGACTTTCTGGCAAAAATTTCAGTCAACATAAAGTTCTCTGTATCCCAAATATCTGTCTTTCCTCCCTTGTTTTGGCCTTAGAGCCAGAATTGTAATTCTGTTTAGCAAGGCAAAGGCTTAAGACCCAAAAGGTCTTAAAGGCAAAGTCTTGTAGCTAGAAGACGTTTTGAAAGCTGTTTTTCAAATTGCCTGAGGTAATTAGAGCCAGAATGTATGCATTCTGTAGTCGTTACCCTTGATTTGATTCCTGGCACTGCTAGTTATGAGCTGTGTGACTTTGGACAGGTAAGACAACTCCCTCAGTTTCACCTGTACACCATTCGTATAATAATATTACTTACCTTATAGGGCTGTTGTGAGGGTTAAATGTACTAAAAGTACTAAAGAACTCAATAAAAGTTAGCTCATGTTATAATTTATTCATTCACTTATTTACTAATAAATATATCTTAAATTCTTATATGTGTCAGGCATATGCTGTATGCTGAAGATACAATGTTGTACAAGCACAGACACAATACCTGCTTTCATGTAGTTTGCAGTCTAGTTGGGGAGATAGCTGTCAATAACACTCATACCTTTATTTACTTAGATCAAGGGTGTGATAATGGAGTGGTAGAGGATGAAGTTGGAAAGACAGAATGTATGAAATTTGAAGAATCATGTGTGTCAGCTTGAGGACAATAGACTGATCCGATTGGTCACCACTGCAGGTTTTCAGCAGGGAAGGGACATGAAGCTGCTGTTTTTGGAGGATGGGTTGGGGGCTGGATGGGTGAGACAGCAAGTAAGGGCAGTTAATGGTTAGTTTTGCAATAGTCCTTGTGAAAGTGATGAAGATCTGATCTAGTACTTTGGCAGGGAGGATGAATAGAACGGTTCTGAGAGTATTTGGGATAGAATCATCATGATAATTTCCCAAGTTCTCGAAGTTCTCTACACTCAAAGTTCCTCCAAGTTCCAGAAACTTTAGAGGCCAACAAAATTCATAATAGCTCTTCCCTCAACCCAAATGGGCAGCCCCCTCTTCTTTCGCATTCCTAGTGGTCAACCAGCACTTTTCTATCCGACTTCCCTTCTGTCTGTCGTTAGTGCTTTTATGACCGTGAGCTGCCCCCTAGTGGAGATGAAAGTTTATAACAGCGTGGAATCTTTTCAACTCATGCAACAAACTGCTTAGATGTCTAACTGAGCCAGGCAGACATTTTACCTTTCAATCCCAGAAACTGTGTTTTTAGGATATAGGAAGCCCAGGAAAGATGGAAAGATAAGATCAGGTTAATACCATTTTAAGTAATATCGCTCAATAGAGATTGAGAAAGCACTTGAAGGCACTGGGCGACTCTGGCAGGAAAACTGTCCACGTTTTCCCTGCCTCCTTCTGCTTACCTCTCAGTAAAGATTTTGAGGAGCCCAAGCAGAAGGGGCTTTATTTGGTGTCCTGTGGGAATGTGGGCTCAGCGTTGTCAAATCTTTCATTTTTTGAAGAGAACCTGGAAAGCCAGATTATACATGAAATATTCCAGGTTTTTTAATGTTGTAATGTAAAATTTTAAGAAAAGAAAATTCTATAGCCACTTGTTTTCAAGTTCTGCACAGTAGATCATCAGGTCCCAAATGCCAGCCAGTTTTCACTGCTTTATGGTAAAATTTACAAAAAAGGACAATGAAACAGATTTTTCCATACAGCTAAATCTGTCTAATATAGAAGACTATTTATCTCCGCTGTGATTATATTTTTGTATATTTTGTTAAAAGATCTTTGTTTTGTACTTATATTTATGTTAAAATATCTTTTATGAAATGATTATATTGCTTCTCATGTATTTAATTGGCAAAATCATGGGCTGGTGACTTAACATTGTCTTATTGTATTTAGTTTTGTTTTACTTGTTATTTAAATCTAAGTGACTGGGCATCATTGCTAAGACAATGACAATTCACTGAAAGTTTTTGAGCACGATTTATGCTTAAAGAGCACTAACCCACAGCCCTCGCAGTTGATATAGAAGGTGTATTGGTTGGGGAGACTCAAGGTCCAGAAGTGTGGCAATCACAGAGTGCGAGGACCTAAAGGAATTTTGCTTCACACCTTTATTTTGTGACCGGAGGACACACTGAGGGGAAGAGGTTTGTCCACGGTCACTCTGGAGATAGGAGCAGAACCACGACTACAACCCAGTTTCCTGACACCAGATAAGTGTCCTTTCAATCACCCTGGTTGCTTCCGTGTCAACCGGATGGTACCCCAAGACACTACTGAGCCTGATTGGGGATAAACCCTGGTAAAGGGAAGGCTTCAGGGTAGTAGAAAGGGTGATTCATGTAATTGCACATTTCAGTTGCAAGTTGGAACCCCTGCATCATGCTCATTTCATCTTGGGGTACAGAAGTTTGCCTTTTATCTGCTGTTGAGTTGACTTTCCTTTAGGAGCTTTCCTTCACGAGTAGGTCTTTGGGTTTAAAAGTATCTTACTTTTAAAAGCTCACTTATTGTGATATTTGGTTGTGTTGGAACATGAGTTGATTAGCAAATGTACCTCTTGACTGTCTCACTGGTCAGTCCCAGATGCAGCAGGTGCTTGTGTACCCAAGTCTACACTCCATGAAAATTGTTTTCTTATTTGGGGGGGTGTGTGTGTGCGTCTTATATCCCCAACTGGTAAATAAATTTCATATAATTGTGAGTAATATATTTTATACTTTTTTTTCCCCTCTAGAAAATGTGGCTGGCATGCAGTAGAGGTTTCACTTTGTTACCAGATTAAAAAATGACTTGATAAGCAATAATAGTAACTTCCATAAATTGCACAGCATCTATGTGCCAGGTATCATTCCAAGAGCTTTTTGAACACTGTCTAATTAAAATGAGTCTAGAAATCTTCAGTGTTTCCTACCGTGTGCCCAGGGCTGTGTCATATGCTGGGGATATGGTGGTGAATTGAATGATGTATCCTCTATCCACATGAAGTGTGTAGCCTGAACTTGAATCCTCCCGGCAGTCACTGCTGCCTCGGTCCCTCCTGATTCATGCTAGCCTGAAACACATGATTATAAATAACTAAGAAAAGACTTACAGTTATGCCAGTTGCTGTGCATGAGTGTCAGAGTCAGGAAAGACTTAGATAAAATGAAAACTAAGTTATGATATGAAGGATGAGTTAGCAGTTAGCCAGATGAAGAGAGAGGGGAAAAGTGTTTTATGAAGAGGGAGCAGCAAGGGCAGAGGCCCAGATGGAAGAAATTAAACATGGGGCATTGAAAAAGGCAGAGAAATCCAGAAGGAGGGCAGAGGGGAAAAGTGGGCAAGATGAAGTCTGCTTAGGTCTTGCTGTTAAACTCCCATTGTGCTTTGCAAAGCTCCTTATAATGCTTTCTAAAATAAAAAGTGTCTAAAGGCATTTAGTTACATAATGTATTATTTGTATATCATTTGTCAAAAATAGGTCTTTTCCACTGTGCTGAGTTCCTTGAGTACAGGGGCCCATGCTCCTCTGTCTCATCACATGGTGCTGCCCTCTACTCCTCCAAAGTGCTGTTTTTTCTTTAGTAAAATCCTGCTTTCCTGACAGACACCATCTATCCATGAACACAACACAATTTCCATACCGAGTCGCATCTGCAATAGCATCACTCATTCACTCATTCCTCCATTCGATGAACATTTCTGTGTGCCAAGCAATTTAGGAAATCATAAGAGGTTCCTCATGGAATTATGCTTGTTCTAAACTTAAGGCTAGGCAGAACCGAGACCCAAAATCCTATCTACAAAGCAATATGTTGCAATTTGGAAACACTTGAATTTTAAGTTATTGGGTATAATGATGTTTTTCTTATCATGGTTTAATTGCACCTGTATTTCGAAATGTGCTCTTGTTTTCCTCTCCTCAGCCCATCTGCCAGGCGGCCTATCAGAATGACTTTGGTCAAGTGTGCCGGTGGGTGAGGGAGGACAGGAACTGTGTCAATGTTCAAGATGGCTTTAATGGAGACACTCCACTGATCTGCGCTTGCAGGCTAGGGCACCTGAGAATCGTTTCCTTCCTTTTAAGAAGAAATGCTGACGTCAGCCTCAAAAACCAGGTAAGGCCGAGACATGTGAGCAGAGAGAGTAATGGATCATGGTAATTCCTTTTTCCTCACACCAAGGGAAGTAGTGAATGTCATTTTCTTCTTGCCTGTAGCTCCGAATACCAACAATTTTTTATTTGTTTGTTTTGCCTTGCTTTAGAGAGACTGATACTGAGGACAGTTGATTAGGCTCAAAATGCAAAATCAAACATAGTTCAATCAGCAGGCATATTTTGCGGTGGATTACAGCCTTGTACTTCTGTAAAGGAAGAGAACGGTTCACTCATTTGACTGGATGCAGCTTCTTCTTTTTTTTCCTTCTCCTCCCCTCATGCTTTTCCTTGATCTACCCCTTCTCTCTCCCCAGTTTTCCTCCTCACTATTGCAGAAGTAATGGGAAAGATTGCCTGGGAAAAACTATTGACCCAGTGTTGCTATTTCATTAGTTAGACTTTTACCTACTATGTCAGCGTTCTGATCTCCAGAAGATCCTAGAGTTTTCTTATAGAATGAAAGAATTCCAGTGAGAAATTTGCCAAGGACAAATAAGCTCATGAACCAGAGGCTGCTCGGAGCCACACAGAAAGGCACAAAGAATGTACTGAAAGATGCGCTGTTCGCTGACTTAGAGCCTTCAGGATCAAGGAAGTGCAGAATATGTGTGTTATTGCTGTGACCGTCCTCTTAGAACCCCTTTGAACATCCAGTGTCTGCATCATAGTAAAGGCAACATTTAGAGTACACCGAGTAAATATAAAAAGGCATTATTTATAATAATTATAAAAGCCCTTTATCCACTCACATAAGTTCAGTGAGAATAAACAGCCTGTAGGGCCCACTCGCCCCTTCCAAGTCAGTTTAAAGACTGGCTCATTTAGAGTAATAACCTGTTAGCAGAAAATGGATCACTACTGGACTTTCTTGTTTGTGTTTACTGTTTTTTGTTTGGTTGGGTTTAAAAGCAAGTCATGCCTGTGCTGGATCTAGCGCACAGCTGAGGAACCAGGCGTATGAAGTTGGGGTGAGAGGAGTGGAGAAGACAGATGTCTATGGATTTATATCCTTTCTCAAGAGACTTGCATGTTAGGAAGCCGAGGGAGGGAGATGTCTGACAACACAGGGACGGGGCTGAGGAGACACCCTTATCTCTGTTTTGCAGAGACCAAGCTAGCTTGCTGGGATCCTCTGGTATCAGGAAAATCATGGAAAGGTCTTTATGGAGACTTTAGATTAATAGAGATTTTATCAGACGAAGTGTTTGGTTTGCATTTTCTATTTTTAAAATATTTTTAATTGTTTTATCTTTTTCATTTTTCCCAAATACTAATGTTGATACATTAATAATCTGAACCAGTGCTTTCTCATTTCTTGAAGCTATGACAATGAGCTATTTCCAGAAGGACTAAACAAAGGCCTTGAAAACAAACAAACAAAAAGCTCTGCTGGTGATTCAGATGCACGTGCCTAATGGAAGGCGTTGATTCTATGGAGAGCAAATTAATTACAACATAAAGATACTTTTTTGTTATTGGTCTGTCAAATTGATCCAGATTAAAAAAGAAAATCCAGCATTGATCAAGAAGGAAGTTTAAATCATTATCATTTCACTGGAGCACAATTTAGCAGCACGACATGAAAAGCATTAATGCCTTTTATAGCAGGAATTATATTTTTAGAAACTTATGCTAAGGACAAATTTATAAATGTTGACGAAGCTTTTTGGATGAAGATGTTCAAGGAGTATTATTTAGAAAAATGACAAGTTAAAAACTTGAAATGTCCAACAGGTAGGGCTTGGCTAAGTAAATTAGAATAGCTCCATTCAGTAGAAAGCTGTGCAGCCATTATACTCATAATGTATATACTCATTTAATATTTTAAATGAGTTTAAAAATATTAAATGGCAGGGAAAAATGCATGTATTCTAAATCTCACCTGAAAAAAAAGCAGATATGATTTTGCATATGCAGTATGAGCCCACATTTTAAAATTCCTCATATATGCATTTTATTTATTATTATTATTTTTTAATTTATTAATTTTTTTTTTCTGAGGAAGATTTGCCCTCAGCTAACATCTGTGCCAATCTTTCTCTATTTTGTATGTGGGTTGCCGCCACAGCATGGCTGACCAGCGTGTAGCTCCACACCTGGGATCCAAAACTGAGAACCCAGGCTGCTGAAGCAGAGCGCACAAATTTAACCATTACGCCATGGGGCTGGCGCCTACATGTATGAATTTTTAAAGACTGGAAGAAAATAAAGCAAAATGCCCACAATTAATTCTGGGCTGTTTGATAATGGGTGATTTAAAATTCTATCATTATATTCTTGTCTAGTTTTACAGAGAACGTAAAAATCTTGATATTAGGGAAAAATAAGTATTCTTATTTAAGAACAGTGCCTTCCCCAAGTGAAAATGAACCTCTCGTTTCTCTCTGGCCTTCCCTCTCTTCTCATTGATGTGGCTGGTTTTCTGATTGCCATAGCCTGTTTTGCATTGTACTTATTTGTGCATGTTTCTCTCTACCTTCATTTGAATATGAGGCCCTAAGGCTTCACATCCCCCACCATCCCTAGAAACTTAAGTCTATCATCTGATAAATATTCACATATTTGAAGAATTAAATTGAGTTATTTCCGTTCTTCTAGCACTGCCTGTATGCATGTGGGAACATAGAAAAATTGCCATGTGGTTAAGATTTTCCTATGAGGAAATCACAAAATGAATAATTGTATACCATAGATGATTAAGGGTTAACTATAGCTTTTCATACTGAATTCAGTCCTATATTTACAGTCCTATGTTACATTTATATATAGAGGAAATCACAAAATGAATAATTGTATACCATAGATGATTAAGGGTTAACTATAGCTTTTCATACTGAATTCAGTCCTATATTTACAGTCCTATGTTACATTTATATATATATTTTTTATCAAAAATTAGAATGAGTGTGAGAATCCATCTTTTTTTTTTAAACCTTTTTTTTTTTTTTAATTTATTTTTATTTTTTCCTTTTTCTCCCCAAAGCGCCCCGGTACATAGTTGTATATTCTTCGTTGTGGGTCCTTCTAGTTGTGGTATGTGGGATGCTGCCTCAGCATGGTTTGATGAGTAGTGCCATGTCCGTGCCCAGGATTCGAACCAACGAAACACTGGGCCGCCTGCAGTGGAGTGCGTGAACTTAACCACTCGGCCACGGGGCCAGCCCCGAGAATCCATCTTTTGATGATTTGTAAAATGTACATTTCACCTGTTGTCTTTCTGTGGCCCTCCCCCCAGCTTTTTCTTTAGATAGTTTAACATTCTCGTCATAGAACCTGTGTTTATTAATCAGACATACTCCACAAAAAGAGGTGCATGGGTACCATAAAAATTAAAAGCACAAACTAGACTTTTTGTTATGGTAATCTGAAAATATGAAGCTTGAAATGAAATATTTTATTCATAAAGAGTTCTTTTCTTAATTTTTAGAAAGAGAGAACCTGCTTGCATTATGCTGTGAAGAAAAGATTTACCTTCTTTGATTATCTACTCATTATCCTCTTAATGCCTGTCCTGCTTATTGGGTATTTCCTCATGGTGAGTACAACACTTGTGAGTACAAAGGGTAAAGGAGTAGGAGATCAACAGCATGACTCATCAGGTTTTGCTAGACCAGAGAGATGTAAAGAAATAGGAACAAAATAAGCCCTTGGTTTGTATTCTATAAATATTTCCAACATTCATGCAATACTCTGAAGTCAAGCAAGAAGAAAGGTAGCAAAATAGGTCAATCAATGGTCAAATAATCTGTGCAGTGTTTATTTAGAAAAATAAATTAACCTTGATTATGAAGCATCTGAAGGAAACAAAAAAAAATCCTGAATATTTAAAAAAAATTCCCTTCCTTCTCTTTCTTTTCTCTTTTTTTGTAGGAGGAGTTTAAGTCTTTGTATATATTTTTCTGAGTTTCTGATTTTTAAGGAACCACCCCGGTTGTGAGTTAAAAAATAGATCCCAAGAGATTTGCATCCAGAAGTTGACAAACACAGAAGATCTTTATAGAGAATTTGAAGCCCACCTTTCACTTTGATAGATTTATTTATGCTTGAATGAATCTTTGGCATACAGTAATTTTCTTGAGTAAAGGAAGATGTAATTGGTGTAGGAATGCAGTCATATTATGAGTAAAAGATGACGCTTGAGTTTTTGTTTTGTTTTGTTTTTAAATAGAGTGACAGCTTTGTACTGACTCATTCACTTTTTTCCATCTGGTTCCCTGTGGCCGTTTCCACTTTTGAGAGATGATGTGTAATTTACTCCAGTGAAAGGACCAAGCTCCCTTCTCTTTTTAGACCATGGGGGTTAGTTATCTCTGTTAGCATAAGTTCCAGAACAAAGTTGGCCAGTTGGAACTTGGATTTATGGGAGAGAGAAAACTATAAATCACTGATAAATACATAATCCACATATATCTTTGGGAAGTTCTTGAAAAATTAATTATGTGTTTAATACCTAGCATTTGAGTATTTGTAGTTTTGGGGCAGGCGGGAGTTCAATCATTCATTTACAAATGTTTTTAGAGATTATGAAGAAAAAACTCACAACTGTGATTAACAAGACTCACTCAGAATTTCTTGACATTCACACAACCTTGCTTTCTAAGACAGTCCAATGTTTAAGAGCTAGAGGCCTAAGCAAAAATACTAATTATAATGAATAGCTTGGCTCTGATTCCACAGGTGTCCTATTTATTCATGTGGCTTGAGATTGTAAATTTGTGATACAAAAGGGATAAGTCATTGGAGAGGAAACTATAGGGGAAGGGACCAGAAAGGACTGTGTAGGAAGAGAAAGGCAGTTTAGACGTTGACATAGGAAGCACAAAGAGAGAAGACAACTGGGTGGAGCTTCCTAAATTATAAATGGGCTGAACTCCAGGACATGCCTACTTGAGCAGGGAGAGCTGTACTGCCTAAAGCAGTGGGATGCTGGGGGAGTGCTCAGGTTATCATGTTGTCAGAATCTCAGGGGACTAGGCAAGAAAAGTGGATTTCTGGGGAACCTAGTTAATTTCATTCATTTGTTCAGTCATTCAACACATACTTATTATGAACCTACGACATGCCAGACCCTGCGCTGGGCATTAGAGATACAATGAGGAACAAGCAATTGTAGTCCTTGTCCTCATGAGAGTTAGAGGGTGGATAAGAATAAGCCATTACTCAAATAACAAAACACATGTAAAATTACCATGAAGTGGGTGGTACAGAGAAGTGATTGGTGTTTTCAGAGCCCAGAAGAAAGGGATTTCACCTGGCCAGGTAGGTCAGGGAAGGCCCCCTGGAGGAAGAGAGCCTTGGGCTGAGATACTAAAGAAGAATTTACCAGGCAAAGAAGGGAGGGAGGAGGTTCTAGGCAGAAGGAACATTCAGTGCAACTATTCCGCGGCACCGGGGAGCCTGGTGGGAATGAAAGACTGACACAGGCAAGTGTGGCTAGAGCAAGGTGAGCCGGGAGGTGTGGAGTAAGAAGCCTAGGGCCATAGTGGAGGCCAAAACATAGGGGGCCTTGTAGACCATGTTGAAGAGCATGATTTGTCCTCAGAGCAGTGGAATGTTATTGAAGGCTTTTGAGCAGGAAGGGAAAGGCAGGTCGCTGGACCCCATCCTCAGTAGGATTTGGCAGGTCTGGATGGGGCCCTATAATTTGCATTTCTAAGTTCCCAGGTGCTGATGCTGCTATTCCAGGACCACACTTTGAGCTTACAGCTTTACCTAATTGATGCTGAAGGGAGGTGAGGGGGTGGGGAAAATTTTTAAAAAGATGCAGATGCATAGGAGTGTTGGAATTAAAATGAAGCCTCTTGATTAGAATAGTCCAGACATAAGATGAAGAAAATGTTTGTAAATAAACGTCTCTTGCACATGTTTGTAATAGGTATCAAAGACAAAGCAGAATGAGGCTCTTGTACGAATGCTACTTGATGCTGGAGTCGAAGTTAATGCTACAGACTGTGTAAGTTTGAATCCTTACTCATTTCGAAACAATACTCAAAACAGTAGGTAGTATGATTGTCATCTCTTACGTTGCCTGCTTTGTTTTCCTAGACACTTTTACATTTAGTTTTTTTTTCTTTCCTTTTTTATTTCACTGCCAGTTAAGTGAACTTGAGATTGTTTATATGCTGCCACTGAACTCATGGGAATAAAATTTTTATTGAATATAGAACATTTTTAAAAGAACTGCTCCACCATTGGTGAGAAGTTAAGGAAAACAGAGACTCTGGCAACAAAATTCCACCCTTAGTAGTTCAGAAACTACTGAGTCAGAATGCCTACATAAAAACCCAGGCTTGCTGCTTTTTAGCTCTGTGTCTTTTGGCAAGTTATAAATTTGTTCGACTCTTAGTTTCCTCTGTAAAATGAGGATATCGATAGCACTTACCTTACAGGGCTTATTCCTGAAAAACACTTAGAGTGCCTGACACATAGAAAGTACTGAATGAATATTAACAGCTGCCATTGAGGCCAAGATCCCAACCCATTGGTGAGAAAGTCTCGGTCTGTGCTCTAAGGAAAGAGAAGGACACAGGTCACAGAAAAATCAAAGTTATGGTGAGAGTGGTGATAACAGTAAGAGCGCATCAGCTGACTTCTTCCAGTTTATAAGACTAAGGTTATGCTTTCACCTTTTACCCTTGCACCCTTAAACTTATCTTCCTCCCTTAAATGATCATACGTTGGTCAAAAGTTTATTTGTATAGAGTTTTAATTGTTTATATTGATTGAATAAAATTTGGGGTTCCCAGTGCTTTATTGAAAAAGTAGGTAAGTAGAAATTTGACTTCAAAAAAACTAACATTCTTTTTGTGATCCCTAATTTATTTTATGTGTAGGCAACTCTGTGTGAGTGTGTGTGTGTGTGTATGTGTGTGTGAGAGAGAGAGTGAACACAAGAGAACAAGTTTATGAAATGTATGTTTTCCTTTTATTTCAAATCGAACTTTTGGATTAATTTGGATAGACTACTACTGTGCATCATTTCCTTAGATAACTTTGAAATGTACTAAGTAAGATGTTATTAAAAATTAACTAAAAGATTTGTTGAAGGTTTTTCTTGGTCTTTTCATTTAAATTCATAAGGTTTAAAACTTGTGCCTGTGACCAAAATTTCTCTAGGATATTTTTCTAGCTATGTTTATCTCTATTTATAGACAGAGATGCTCCATTCCTATAAACACACATGTTCACACACACACACAGACATACTTTCTCCACCAAACATATTTCGAAAGCTATATAAATATTAAAATTCATTTTCCAACTATAAGTAATGCAATGTATTATATTTTTAGGTAATTTGACTCTCTTTATTTCATATGGAAAAATTCAGGGCCAGATCTTCCACTTATCATGTCATCACTTAATAAAAATAAGTGATTGCAGTATCTCCTATGATCTTAGAAGAGTTCCTGGGGAATGAGATCCAGCATTAATTGTATTATCTTGATAATCAAAGATATTATTTCTTTACTTACCAAAACCATGGTTGTTTGCCTGTTTTTTTGGAAGGCAAAATATCGGGCACAAATGCCCCAGCTACTAATTTCTTTTGACCTGTAGCTAGTGTTTGAAATGAGTACTAACACAGTACATCCACTATTTTATAATAGATAAGGTAAGCTACAACAAACCAAGTATGGGAGACTTCTCTGTATGTCTCCATTGATCTGTAGGTGTGCTGTAACAACATAAGCACTGGCCACCTTCTTTAGATTGTGGAGATTTTGATCGAGAACCATAGAGGATGATATTTGCAAAAAGGCCCATGTGAAGTCTCTTTAAGAGAAAAGATGGTAACATGATCAAGGTAGTGATTGCCCAGAAATATAGAATTCTACAAAGAAACCTTGGGATAATTCATCATCAGCTTTTTATAAGTTGCATTTTTTTCATTTGGAACAGAAAATGAGAAAGGAAAGAAAGATATTAATGGGTTCTAGGACATTAATAATATATACATTGAGGCAGAAAAAGATTTTTTTTTTTTTTTTTTTGCTGAGGAAGATTCACCTTGAGCTAACATCCATTGCCAATCTTCCTCTTCTTTTTTCACTTTTTTATGTAGGCTGCCACACAGCATGGCCACTAACAGATGAGTGGTGTAGGTCTTTGCCTGGGATCCAAACCTGAGTTGCTATGGTGGAGAGCACCGAACTTCACCACTAGGCCACTGGGGCTGGCGCAGAAAAAGACTTTTTAGGTCCAAAAAATATAGTTTCACATAGATGGTTTGCAAACTGTTTTGCTTATTGTACACTACAAAATCTGAAAAGTTCTTGCTTAAGAACTACATGCTATGGTCTGTAAAGAGTCTACTTGATGAGTTGCAATGTTGATCCTTTGTGTTTCAGTATGGCTACACTGCATTACATTACGCCTGTGAAATGAAAAACCAGACTCTTATCCCTCTGCTCCTTGAAGCCCATGCAGACCCCATGATAAAGAACAAGGTGAGGCTCTGTGGACCATGGTCTGAGGTCCTTCCAGCCACATAATCTTTTACCTTCAGCTTTGTGTTGAAGTAAATTAATTGCCTCTCATGTTATAAACAGCGAGGTTAATCATCCTCATTTAAGGATTAAATTATCCTACTACTTTTGGAATTGAATAACATTTAAAGCCCTTGCCAAGCCTGAGAGTCCATAGGTCTAAACTGTTTACTAGACCCTTTGTGTTGACATCTGACTCTACTGGAAATAAATAACTATAATTTATTTTTCTTCTCAGCATGGTGAGAGTTCCCTGGATATTGCACGGCGATTAAAATTTTCCCAGATTGAATTAATGCTAAGGAAAGCATCATAATCCTTGTGAACTCAGATGGAGAAGCAGAAAAAGTTAAAGGACTGGATTCTATCTCCTTCTTGGCCTAATGGTCTGTGGGTCACTCAGCCTGGATGCCACCATTTTAAGGGGATAATGATGGTTGCCACGGGTAACATTTTTGCATAGCTTTGTGTTTGTGGTTTTTGCTCAGTGGAGCTCACCATGGCCATAATTAAAGCTGTTGGATTCTCCACTTCAGTCAAGAAAAGGTGATGTTTCAAACGCAATCTCTCCTGACGAAGAGGATCAGAGTTATCTGAGATAGTGTTCTTTCTTCTCATTTGTGTCCATCTTATAAACAGGCCGTCCTGTCTATATCATGCCCTGGGAGAAAATCTGTTCTTCTCAGTCCCTCTTAAGTCGTAACAGGAAGAACTGAAGTATGCACATTTGTATAGAATGGTGTGGGTATGTGAGTGGGTTCAGAGATTCATATGTAAATATTCCTTTAATGAAAAAACCTCAACAAAGCATTTATTACTCATCAGTGATGAGAGAGTGTTTACACCACGGAAATTGGCAAATGCCACAAATCAAGGCTTTTTTTTTCCGGAGATGTGATTTATCAGTACACTGCTAAACATTTTGGTATCAGTTTACAAATAAAAGCCGTCCTGATTTTGAACAAGACTATGTAACTATCAAGATGTTTGTTCAAAAATACCTTTATGATTCTTTTGTGAATACAAGGCAGCTACTAAACTTGTTAGTTCTGTTTATTTTTGTTGATAAAATTTAAAATATCATTGTAAATTATTTGGATAAAGGATTCTTTTACAAGTAATAGAGCTATATGATGAAGTCTATATGGATTATTCTTTGAGATAAGAGATTGAATATTAAAATATCTGTCTCAACTCCTTTGTCAATGAGACAGAGTAGAAATAAATGTATTTACAAAATGAGTGAATTTTGCAAAGCAAAACTGAATCGTGAATAGCTTTAGACATAAACTAAACCACATTACATGTCATAACAAATATAATCTAAGAGTGAAAGATTTACCATCTTTGAACAGAACAAACATCTAATACAAATCAAATCCAGAAATATTTATTGAACCATGTGTAAGACCTTAAGGCACATATTTTGTGAGGGAAGTAGTAGGGTGTAGATACAGATTCTAAAGCCCTTACATGTCTGTTAATAGAGGCTGGCCTGGTGGCATAGTGGTTAAGTTCGCACGCTCCACTTTGGTGGCCCAGGGTTCGCTGGTTCAGATCTTGGGTGAGAACCTACATAACACTCATCAAGCCGTGCTGTGGTGGCATCCCACATACAAAATAGAGGAAGATTGGCACAGATGTTAGCTCAGGGACAATCTTCCTCAAGCAAAAAGAGGAAGATTAGCAACAGATGTTAGCTCAGTGACAATCTTCTTCACCAAAAAAAAATAGTCTCAATAAATTATCTAAGATCCATTCACACTGAACTGAGTTACCAGGTGACTCTGGAGGATGAAAAAAAAACAAGTGTATTTCACACATCACTCTATCTTCTATACACACCAGTATACCTTCAATTTGGTTTCAGAGTTTTGAAAACTTGTACTATTACTCATGGAATGCATAACTATCATCTTTGAAACTGTGTGAAAATTATTTATAGAAATAAATCCATATTTGTGAATGAGTTGGGGTGATTGTCTAGTAGCAACTTTGTCAAGATCAAAGGACAACATACACAATGATTTATTTTATTATGCTCATGACATTATAAAATTTTCTTTCTAGCTTTCAGTTTTTGAAGGCAGAAAACTGGGCCAGATGTTTCTAGCTGTTAGGTTTCCTGGCAACAGCCTGTAAACTCTCAAACAAGCTTGAACTAGAATCGTGGAAATACACATACATGCTTTATGCATTTATTGGAAAACTCATAAAAATCCTACAAAAATATCTTCTCTGAGACTCAACTATAAAACTATGACACGTAGGCCAGTTCTGAAGATACTTAAAATATATTTCATCCATACTGAACATCGATTTTTTTTTTTTGGGTAAAGCAGCTCGACTTCTTGAGGAGGTATTGTCTCTATGGCAATAAGGTGAAAATGTCTAGCTTATTTTGGCAAAGTTAACAACAATTCAGAGATTCAAGACCTCTGTCCGAATTTGTCATTTTACTTTATTGCTCAAAAAACATGGCTTATAGAAAAAAAATAAATGTTTTAGGGAGGTTTACCTGAATGACAGAGAGAATGCCCAGATAATTTCTAGCTATCAGGTAAAACCTACCTTTGAAAACGATAGAATATATAATAGCACATTGAAACTTATGTTCACCCAATGCGTAGTTTAATTAACCGAAAAAAATTTAAACGTCAGTTTTAGTGCCAAATGCAGGAACTCTGAAGGAATGTCTACTCTATCTCTGTCCTCGCTTCTCCACCTCCCTTCTATTGATGTGGTCGGTTTCCAATTCTAAAAATCCTCAAAATCTCCCATTCCCGGGCCCCACCCCCATTTTCCATGAAGTTTCTCCTAAGACTTGTCAACGTCAGATGCCTCATAATCTGGCCCTGCACATCCCCTGGGAAAAGTTGGTCTCTTCATGCTTCATCAGTTGTATGATTTCATTGTACATACGATGAGCAGCATCCAAACCCCAGATGAAATCCGCATGAGCCCATTCAGGAATGTTCTTATGGTAAATGAGGTTGGTCACCTCGGAGAGCAGAGCTTTTGTGTCTTCTGGATTTGAAAGCCAGTCCTGACCCCCAGTCCACATTGCTGTAGGGACCGTCACGTCTCTAACTTCGTACCTTACAGGAGTTGGCTAGAAAAAAGAAACAGTTTTTAACTGTAGATAACATTTGGACTTCCACACTCATAATTTACACTTCAAATAAACATAGTAAATATGCCCTGTGTTGTGATGAAAGGTTCGTGGGCACTGGGTCATACAGAACTACATTAAGAGTTTCTCTTCCAGCCCCTACTTTAAAGTAAAAGTACTTAACCTCACAGAGCCTCAGTTTCTTCATTTGTGAAATATCTATAACTTAATAGGTTAAATGAGAAAATAGGTAAATTTCCTAGTACTTTAGGCATTAAATAATGTTAAATTCTTTTTCTTCCTGTTAATAAATACTTTACACATAAATTGCCTTTAGAAGACAATGTTCCTGTTCTTTCAAAGAATTTCACAAACCTTTCATGAGGCCAGAGTTACAGATACGCTACAGAGAAAGACAGGAGAATGAAATCTACTGAGAAGGCTTCTGGGTCTTCAGAGACCTCTTGTGTTAATAGAAAACCCTTAAGGCAGGCCAGCTTGACTGTGTCTCCAAAGACTTGAGAGAAATCAATGGCAATGGAATTTGGGTGGTCTGAACCAAGTGGAGGTAAAAATTGGATCCCTGCTCCAGTTCCCCATCACTCAAAGAAGGGTATCTAGGATTCTTAACTCTTGAGAACTTCCCTTATTCAAGCAGAACTGCTAGATCAGGCTGGCTGGCTGAGCCCTTGAGGTTAATCAGCATCCAGAACTTTCGAAATGTTGAGGCCCATTTTTTACTCAGAAAACCCACCCTGGAGCCGAGGTTCCAATCCCAGCAGTTCTTGTTTCTTTTTGTGGCTTTCCAAGAACTTGGAGTTATAGCCGCTGATACTATGATTCATATTAAGAAATGCATTTTTGGTCTTCATCCCTGTTTCTGGCCTCAGAGCTCCTAAAACCCTTGGAATTTCGGAAGTGATGAGAGCCATAAAGGTGTCTTTTGTTACATTAATGAGGTGACCTGGAACAGGATGAAGGCTAGTTGTCAGCAGAGCCAAGCATGTGTTTAGAGAGTTGGAATTCTCAGTCCCACTTTTGGACCTCCAGGGAGGGAGAGCTGCTGGAAATTGAGTTCAGTCATCAATGGGCAATGGTTTAATCAATCATGCCATAAAAACGCCAAAAAAGGCAGGGTTGAGAGAGCTCCCAGGTTGGTGAATAAGTGGAAATGCAGGGAGAACGGTGCCTCTGAAGAGGGCATGGGCTCAGTGCCCCTTCCCACATGCTTTGCCCTCTGCATCTCTTCTATCTGGCTGTTTCTGAGTTATATCCTTTTATAATAAACCAATAATATAGTAAGTAAAATGTTTCTCTGAGTTCTGTGAGCCGATATAACAAATTAATTGAACCGAGGGGAGAGTGCTTGGAACCTCTGATTTATAGTTGGTTGGTCAGAAGCACAGGTAACAACCTGGGATTGGGGTTGGCATCTGCATCAGAGGATGGTTTTGTGAGACTGAGCCCTTAACCTGTGGGATCTGATGCTATTTCTGGGTAAATAGGGTCAGACACCCAGCTGGTTGTCTGAGGATTGCTTGTTGGTGTGGGGAAACTCTCCCTCTACACACATTGGAATTTGGTGATCAGAACCACCTTTTGTAGCCTAACTTAGTATGAAAGGTTGGACTATTCTATGGAGCCAGTAATATTTGTTTCTCATCTTACGGGTGAAAAGACTGAACTAAACATTAGGTCTAGCTCTAAGGTTCTGTGATTCTATAACATCTTTTCATATGTGTGTTTTCTCTTCCTTTCCATGACCATTTCCTGGCGCCTACTCTGCATGCATCACTTTCTCTGGAATTCAGGACGTTAAATGTTGATAACTCTACCTTGGAACTGGAGTGCTTTCTCTAAAGATATATTTTAGGAAGCAGAGAAGAGCTGATAGCTGTGATTGAGACTTTGCTGTTCTGGAGCGCTGCGCAGTCTGTCCAGTTTCCTAGTCTTTTATATCTAGATCGATGTCTGGAAGCGGATGTCAATTTAATCCAAAGATTTGTCTGTGTCTACTCAGCTCCCTCCAGCTTTCTGTTTGTATGGTCAATATTTGTTGACATTCATGCACAAGCTAACTGATAATCTTCAGTCAAGATTTTATGCTCAGAAGAGTGTAATACCTACTTCCAGTTCTCCACAACTTTTATTTTTAATTTTATTCCATAGCATTGACTACACATTTTCTTGGGTAATGTAATAACATTTTTTTTTTCATATTTTTCACTTGCAAATTATAGATTCATTAAAAGTGTGACTAGGGAGAACTTATAAGGATTATCTAGTTCAATAATTTTTATTTTAAAGAAGAGGAAATCAAGGCCTGAAGAATCAAAGTAGCCTGTCCATGATCATACAAGCTTATAGTGTAGAGACAGGCAAGACGGACACCATAATCCTCACTGGCCATTTCATGCTCTTTTTACTGTACCAGGAAACAACCTCATCCCTGCCATCATCATTCATGGGTATTTTTTTTTTTTTTATCCTAAAAGGATCGTTCTAGTAGTCACCACAGACTACATTCTTCCCTTCACTAAATCTACCCCATCTTGTTCCTAAGAATCCCAGTGCCTTGTTCATGGAGGCAGCCCCATGAAAAAAGTTCTACTCCATTATATAAGCTTTTTTTGGTTTTATCCTAAAGGCCTCTTGGCTAAGCTTTGAACTTTCTCATTTTTGAACGGAGTCAAACCCGAACTGTTTTCTGCTTGAGTTCTCGTATTTTATTCCCATCTTTAGGATAAACTGCCACCATAACTTCCCACTCATGCATTTCAAAAGGATGTATTTTCAGCAGACTGTACTTGATTTTCCTACCTGATTGCCTTTCTCCAGATTTTTGGTCTCGCTCCCCCAGTCAAATGCCCGGAGTTCCCCAGAATTCAGTACCTAAAAGGAAACAAAAGTTTACATGGTATTCAAATGTATCACTGAGCAAGGGTGGGGAGAAGGGACCAAATCTGCAACTGTGAGGGAAGCAGAGAACAAAGGCTGAGGCAGCTCTTCCATTCCGCATTAAAGTGTAAAGGCAAGAATAAGGCCCTTTCAGAAAGAAAAATGTACTATACAAATACTTCACCACCACGTTACACAACTCCAGGAAGCGCATCCCCAAAGTAGTCTATGTGGATGGGTGCTCTGTATTACTCTGTAGGCTGCAATGGGAAAACAGTCCCTGGGAGTTGTGCAATGTGGTGATTCTGGTAAAGGTGACCAAAATGTAATCCAATTCAGAATCCTTCCTTGGTTTTGATTATAAAATTTCTCTCTCTCTCACACACCCACACACACACACATACACACACACTAAAATATAGCAATGACTTTAGAACAATTTGACTAGGCTCTAAATTGTTAGAAAACAGGATCAGTATTTATGATTTATATAGATCTCATCGCTATTCTTGACACTCTGCCTAAGAGCCTCCCCTTTATTTTTTACAAAGCCGTATTTTCAGTAGATGAGATTCTAAGGTTAGTTATGGTCTAGCTCTCTGTCCTTATAGCCGTGCTTAACTTCCACAGCCAACCGGGGTCACTCTATAGTGTTATCTCTATTGAGTACCATTAGGTTCAGTGCTTCTTCATATGAGAAGGAGTAACTAACTCACATTATCCTTGAATCAATTCGGAATGTTTTACCTCAGATCAACCGTACTTCCCCAGTTCATGTGGCTGGTGGTCAGGACTTTCCCTCCTGTGACGTGACTGCAGCTGTAGTCTGCAGCACAAAGGACTCTTGTGAAAACCTCTTTGGGGAATCAGGACCCACCATAGCATTTTTTTTACTACATGACTATGCTGCTGGAGGAGCCAAAAAGAATGCAGAAACATGATCTCCAGCCTCATCTTTGAAGCGGTTAAGATAGAGAAAGGTCTTATTTGGATCATCTGGATTCACACTTTTAAAGTCCACTAAAGATGTCCTTGGGCCAATCCTTTCCTCCCATCTCCTGACAAGTTTCAATGTTCTAGATCAAATTCACAGTTGAAATAGCATTGACACGATCACATTTCATCTTGGAATAAATGTGAAATAACTCCTGGACTGTCAAAAGGGCATCCTTTGGTTATTGCAGACAAAATGCGCAAAGACCCTTAGCGAAGACTACAAATTCAACATTCTTACCTGGCTCCAGTGTAGGATATTTTGCACAGATGTTCCAGCAGGAGTATGAGCAACATACACATTTGCTCGGCTCTGTAACAAAGCATGAGTGGTTTGTGGGACATGGAAAAACTCACGACATGTGCAACTTGTCAAGACCAAATCTGCAGGGTGTCAGACTAAGAAATGAAGACATCATTAAATTATCAGGAATTATCCATGAAACAGTAATATACACATGCACATAAATTAAAAAATGCCACTAAATGTATTCCTGGACACCTCTATTTTTCATCCAAGAATAACTTCTCGTTAAAGATATGACTTCTTCCTTTAAAAAACTTTATTAGAGTAATTAAGGGTGAGGGCTCTAGAATTGGCTTGTATTCAAATCCTAAGTCCGCCATTTCATTTTTAGGTGAATTTAGGAGAGTTATTTAGTCCACTAAATCTTAGGATACTAACCTATAAAGTGGGGATATTGGTGATACGTGTCTCATAAGGTGTTACAGGGAAAATCGTAGCCTGGCACACAATAAATGCTTATCAAATGGTAGCTATTTATCATATGACTAATAAAAAGAAAAAATCTTCAGAAATTAAATACATATTCTTCCAGCTGCTGGGAGTGGTGCTGGCAGATAGTCCTTTACTGTCAGGCCTCCTGAGGGGATTGTCCCAGGTGCAGAGAGCTGCCTTTCCCAGTGTTTCCCCCATTACTGCTGTCATCTGCACTGAACGACTGGTCGATGTGGGCCCTCTCTCTCTAACTTGAGGCAGCTCTTGAAGGGTTATCCCATCTTCACAAATTCCTGTAGGATCAACTGTGGCTCCCATGGAGATTGCATCACAGCTTGACTTTTTCATCTAGCAAAGCCTCTTTCCTTCCCTTCTCTAAGTGTTATCCTAAGGGTATAACCCCAAGACATTCTGCCTACTCATCTCCATCTCAGAGTATGCTTCCTGGTGAACCCACACCGTGGCACCCACTGACTGGCAGCTATGCCTAAGCCAAACCGAAACTCCCAGATGTCCTATCAAAAGACTTGAGCTACAAACCAGAAGGACCCAAGTAGAAAAAAACAGATGAATGATGTGTGGTAGTTCTCTGACTACTGGGTTCTAGTCACTTTCTTCATCTGTTACTTCATTGTAGCAAAGCTGCTTTTAACCTCTTCCATCTATAATCTGTGAAGTTAATATCTAGCAATGCCCTTATGTTAACCTTGCCTCAGCCCATGTTAAAGCATTTTCTGCATATTATTATGATTTGGAGAAAATGGAGTTACTAGGATTACATTTCTCTAAGTCTTCACTGGCATTAGCTCACTCTCAAGGAGTGAGACTAATAATTCCCAGCTTTGCTTTGGGAAACTGAGGATTTACTAGGCGCCCACTTACCATGTTCATATTGTTTGTGTTAAATCCTCCCAGAAGAAGTATGATATTGCCACAAATCTGATCAATAATCACCTGGCCACAAAGGTAAATAAAAACCTGTCTGAGAAATCTGGTCTGGTACAGAAATTCTTTCTTGCCGAACAAGCCCTGTAAAAATATGAAGTGAAATAGTAGTCATCACACTATAGAAAAAAAGAAGTGGCTTTAATTTAAAAGTGTACGTCTTAGCAAAATGAGCTAGGGGACTCTTCTACATAGACAAGGAATTATCTGAGGAGTCACATACCTTGATCATCATATCTGGCAGCAGCAAAAATTTGGCACCAGGGCCTTTTGAGTGTTTAACAGTGGCTATAGGTGCCAAAGCAAAATACATTTTGATTTTCCCAGCCAGTTCTGGCATAGTGGAAAATGCAATAAAGCCTGCAAGAGAAGAAATATGTCAATGTGAATACTGAATATCCTAGAACTCATAAAATGCTTATTTTGCTTTTATCAAGATATTTCAGTAATTGTGTGAGTTAATCCTAAGAAATTATAAGCTCCTTGAGAGGTGAAAAAAACCCAGCAGCAAAAACTCCTCTGTGTTCCCTTTGACACTTAAAATATTTGTTTTCCAGTAGTAGGTTTTCATTAAATTATTGAATTAAATGAATTACTTGAATTTATGAATTATTGAATAATATGGACTTGGAGAAAAATATATATATTGAGAGGTAACTCCATGGTAGACACTTTGCTGCGGACATTCACAGTTCTTACCTTATTTAATTTTCTGATTGTTGTGAGGTATTTTTAACAAATCTCTTCTTTACAGTGAGAGAAATTGAGAATTAGAGAAATTGCCTTGTTTACTCATAACAATGTTCTGTAACATAATGGGTATTGAGATAGCAGGGTTTTGCTGGTTTTCCTTGATCCCTAACTTTTCTGGAATCCAAATTGTAATGTAATCCAGTAGGCAAGTTGTCTAGTGAACTGGGTTCCAACTCCTGTTTTTGTCATAGACTAGGTAAGGGCCTCTGGTTAAATCAGATTCTGCTTCAGTTTCTATACTTATAAAATAGAGACAAATTCCTCAATTTACCACTGTATAGGGACAATCTTTGTGGAGCCTTTGGGAGAAAAGGACTGTCGTATAAAGCCAGGGCATAGTTATATGTTTGAAATACTGTGTGTCTATTTCAAAAAGTCTACACACCCTCTGATATTTGCAGGTTTGGGGAGAGAGGGGCTGTGTAGAAGAAAACTGGAATACGTGACTTCTGTCTGGTTCCCGGAAGGTGAGTAAGTATTAAGAAAGACTGATTCCTTCCCTGCTTTTCCTCCTTGTGATTAGGTTTGCCAGCCACATGCAGAGGCAGGCCCAACAGTGACCTGTTACTAGCTTTTGAACTCCAAGCTGTACCATCAGGAGGCCAGGGTTGAAGATACATTAAACAATATTCCAGCTTAATTCTGACCATGTGAGAACTCTCCTCAAATGTCAAGATCTGAGAACTCTAGATAACTTCTCCCAACCATATTTCTCTTTATGCAGACTAAGTTCAAGTTCTCCATAATAACAGCTCCCTGGTTGACTACTAGAAGAATCCTATGCTTTCGTGCCCCTTCATTTCTCTTGAAATAACGTTTAGCCTCATCATTAGCATTTTTGTCTTCATGTCAAGTTGAACAATTTGAGTGTAGAGCAAAAAACTTTTTTTAAAGGCCCCTGGATGTTAGAGTCATAGCAAGAGTAACATTCTAATTTTCTTTCTATGAAGTGCGTGGTGAGAGCCAGCATCACTTGAATCAGTTAATGTTATTGAAAAATACAGAAAGGAAAATGTAAAAGTCAGACTCTTCACTTATTAGAGAGCATTAATTAAAAATGAGCCAAATGAGGGGCCAGACCTGTGACATAGTGCTTAGGTTTGTGTGCTCCACTTTGGCAGCCTGGTGTTCACAGGTTTGGATCCTGGGGGTGGACTTAGCGCTGCTCCTCAAGGCATGCTGTGGCGGCATCCCACATAAAATAGAGGAAGATTGGCATGGATGTCAGCTCAGCGGCAATCTTCTTCAACCAAAAAGAGGAAGATTGGCAACAGATGTTAGCTCAGGGCCAATCTTCCTCACAAGAAAAAAAAAAAAAAGGAGCCAAATGAACTTGTGCCCATTGTTCCAACAGCCCTTGAGCCATTAGAACAGATTCACAGCTCAATTTTATTTTTGACACAACGTCATTGTGAGTAATGATCATAAATGATTTCTGGGAAAGTTCTATAGCAAAAGAGCCTCTGATAGCATGACAGTATCTGAGAAGCTGTAATGAAACACATCTTCTCCAATAGATACAGATAGTAACATGATTTATACAAATACGAGAGAAAGGGGAGAATTAAGCAAAAATAGCCCATCGTTCCTCTACACTTGCCCTACTTTGGTTAATCCTGTCTGGTAAACTACATGTACTATCTTCTTAATAAAAGTCAGTGGGCAGGGGCTGCAGGCCACATAGTTTAGTCTTTGCCAACCAGGTTTGCCATCAGCCTTAGACTCCTTCTTTAGGATGTGAGTGGTAGGAAAGATCTCAGTGATTTGACACATAAGAGACTTCCCTGGAAAACTTTGGACTTACATAAACATTGGATATTCCCCTCCAACTGTGGCTTTTTTTTTTTCTGCTGAGGAAGACTTGCCCTGAGCTAATATCCGGACCAATCTTCCTCTGTTTTTCAGTACGTGGGCTGCCAGCACAGCATGAGCACTAACAGAGCAGTGTAGGTCCACATGCAGGAAACGAACTTAGGCTGTTGAAGTAGTGTGTGTTGAACTTAACCACTAGACAACTGGGGCTGGCCCCAGTGGTGGCTTTTTTTGTTCATTGAAATTTCTCAGAGCAAGTACTTTATCCTCTCTTGGCTTGAGGACAGAGCCTAAACCTGAGGAATTTCAGGGAGAGGTAAAGTGGTCATTCCATTCCAGGAGATAAACAGATAGCAAAAGGTGAATTCATGGCTTGCTGATAATAGTTGATGATTTTTTTTTTTTTTTTGGTGAGGAAGATTGGCCCTGAGCTAACATCTGTTGCCAATCTTTCTCTTTTTGCTTGAGAAAGACTGTCACTGAGTTAAAATCTGTGCCAATCTTCCTCTACTTTCTGTGGGATGCCACCACAGCATGGCTTGATGAGCAGTGCTAGGTCTACACTTGGGATCCGAACCTGTAAACCCCAGGCCACTGAAGCGGAGTGCACAAACCTAACCACTACATCACCAGGCCATCCCCTATTTGATGATCTTTTTGAACTTTTGCAGAATCAAATCTCTTGGCAAATGAGTGTCAGTGGCCAATGTGACTGGATGGTCTGCTGAGGCCTCAGAAACCAAATGGCTTAAGACTCCATGATGTGTTGTTTAATTTAAGGAATGATAAGTATGAGTTAACTAAAAGCTAGCTGAGATTTTCCCACTATTGACCTAAATTCACAGTGCTTTGAGTATGACAATGGGTTTCATAGGTCATCTTTTTCTATTTTTTTGAAGGAATTTGACATAAGAATCTCTAACAACTGTAGAAATAGAGCTAAAATTCTTTTACAAGTAGAGGAATATGTGAATTTAATTTTTGTCCAACTTATAAACCTCGTTGTAGTGGTTATGCACTTTGAATACATAATATGGGCCCTGGCTTTGTGATCTACTCACTGCGTAGGCAACTGTGGTCAAGCTCTTTCACTAAACTGTAATTTATTCATCTGTAAAACAGGGATACAAATCTCCACTGCACATCCTTGTGGATACGCAGTAAAGGAATGGGGCAAAATGATGTGTATATAATGGCTGGGAGTTAGTTAGTGCTCATAAAAGGCAATTATTACTATTATAAAGTCTGAGGTGATATGAGGATGATATTAAACCACAGACAAGAGAGAAGGAAAAAGTCAAATTGTTCACAAAATTTCAAATTTCCATAATAGGGAGTATAAATCCTGTCCTGGTACCTAGACATGGCTGTCCTGTTCAAGAGTAAGTTTTACTTCCAGTAGGTGAGTGCTCGCCTGTCTCCACAGAAGCTCTCACCCTGGCCTTCAACTTTGAGTCTGGCTCAGGGCGAAGGCCAAGAGCTCTTCCCAGCCTCTTCTAGAGAGCTCCTCCTCATGGCACACACCGTGCCTCTGCTGATCTTCCCTCAGCCTAATCGAAGCCAAACACATTTTCCCTCTTGGCTTTGGTCTGAAATAGGGCCAGGATAGCCACGGTCTCCACTTCTATCTCCCCAAGTAGGCAATCTGAATCCTGCAGATGCCATGAGTTAAGATTTCTCACAAATTCATCAAAAGCAAAAGGAGACCAGCATATAATCCCACACATTGCCATTAGAAGGAAAAGAAAATCCCCCATCAGTTCTGTTTATAATATGATAACGAGGCTTACTCTTTATTGATTGCCTGTTACACGCCAGAGCCTGAATTCAGGGCCTCATTCGTTCAATGCACTTATTGAGTGCATACTGTGTGCCAGGAACTGCTCTTATGGCTATATCTTAGACAAAATACCTGCCTTCACAGATCTTATGTATATATGATCACACTGAACATTCCAAACACCTCTAACAATCCTAAAAGGGAGTTATTATCTCCCTTTTATAGATGAAGAAACTGAGATCAGAGAGGTTAAATGATTTACTCAAGGACATTTACTGACGAGGTGGTAGAGCCAGTATTTGAATCCACATCTGTTTGACTCCAAAGCCCTTGCTTTTTCTACCATACCGCAGGCTCCCCTCGATTTAGTCCCCATTTCCCGCAGCCCCTAGCGTCACTGAACAGGATGAGGCCATATCTGAGAGAAGTGAGAGATGACTGCGCCTAGGCACAGCTGTGCACCATAAGCTCACATTTCTTCTGAGTATACAAACCTGCTTTCCTTTGAACCTACCCATGGTGGTGCCCTGTGAATAGCCGACATAATAAATCTTTTCCTGGCCCGTTTTCTGCAAAATAAAGTTTATGACTGCAGGAAGGTCAAACCTAGCCATCTCATCATAACTACAAGGGGAAAAGACAAAATTATATGAAAAATTATAATCGAAAACAACGAAAGCAGCCCCCGGGGGTTACAAACAAGTCCTTGAGTCGTCAGCCCCCACAGCTTGCTTACTGCGCCCCTCACAACACTCAGAACAGACTAGTTCCAAACCTGTGATGCATGGGTGCCGCTGAGGTCATAGGCTGTTAACTAATTGCTGTTTTCTCCAGATGTTATCATAGAGTGATAATCATCTTCAATGAATATGTACTGAGTGCATGATCCACCTCCTAGTGGAGGTGTCCTGTTATTTTGTTAGCAGAACAGCACCAGACCATGCAGATTCATTTATGTGAAATATATTAAAGATGTTGCAGGGGCCCTTCTCTGAGAAATGGATAAAGAACAGGTTAAATGTCAATAGGAAATTTAAATAAAAACATTAAAAATCTTTTGTAAGAGTTTGAGAGATACGTTAGTCAAATTGACGGTCCCTAAGGCTTAATAGTTTCCCTTATATCTGGTCTTATCTCCTCCTGGGGGTACTAGTCCTTGTCATCATTCACAGAAGAGTTAGTCTCAGGATATCCATCTACAGTGAACTGGACCTATACATTCCTCTATGTCAGTCTCAATCACCTGACACCAACCACCATTCTCACTCCATTCTCCAGACCCAACCTTCTACTTGGGGAACCCAATCTTTCCCACTACTTCCCCAAAAGAATTACTGTTAATAAGACAGAGAATATCATGTTACATTATTGATGACCCAACCAAAGAAAATTATCCAAATACTAGAAGCCATAATTCTTTACCCAGTTCTTCCAAAGACATCCATGGCCACCTCCACTCTCAAGATTTTCATGTACCTGAAAGCCCAGAACTCATCTTGGTCTATGGAGAGGGTCTTGTGTTTCCGAGACCAGGTGTTTCCTCTGCTGTTCCCCAGCCACACGTCAAAACCAGCATCTGCTAGAATGAAGCCCAAGCTGTTGTTGGGCAGGTTGGAAATCCAGTTGCTAGCGTCTCCAAGCAAGCCATGCTGCAGTAACACCACAGGCTTGGGACCTACGACAGAGAATTTCAACTGTGGGAAGTGTTCTCCACCTTTCTTGTTTTCCTTGAATGTGTGAAGGCTTTCAAGTTAGACAAACCTGTGTTTAAATCTTGATTCAGCTGTTTGCTAGGTTGATTGTCTTGGCCAGTTACTTAACCTTTTTATGACTTGATTTCCTCATCAGAAAAATAGAACTTTTGTTATGCGTAAATAAAAGAGGGCCCGAGGGCAGATGGCACAATGCCTTGCACAGAGAAAGAATAAATACAGTTCAATTTCCATTGTTGTTTCTGTGTAGTTATTGTTACTACTAGGCTTGTCTCTGTACCTCAGAGGACTTTGGAAGTACCCCAGGAAGTGGTATAGTATAACGATTAAGATAATTATATATATGAGTGTCTATATGTATATAGACACTCATATATATTATGGTTTAATGATTATGGGTCCTTCATATCAAAAGGACCCATACGTCAGGTTGAAGGAGCTCCTACTGTTCAAATATGTGAAAATTTGAGCATCAAAATAAATGATGATAGTTATAAATTATACCCCACTGAATAAGTTAAGAATGCATGAGTCTGTACTGATATTAATAAATGAATAAGCAAATAATTAAGGGAGAAGAAAACGCTCTTAGTTATAGCACAATGCCAGTTAATAAAAAAATTGATGGCATTATAAAATCATCAATGTAGGGTAAAATTTGGGGTGAAAATTTGAAGAGATACAAGATATTTATATATCCCAGAAGCGTCTCCTCACAAATCATTTATTAGTTACAAAAGGAAAGATACTACCTTGACAGTAGAAGAACTTGACAGACACCACTTTAACGTAGTGATGAAAGCTAATGTCACCGAATGGAAGCGGACCCCTAACTTAGACCACTCACAAAAACTAACTCAAAATGGATTAAAGACTTATGTGTAAAACCTGAAACCATACACTTTCTAGAAGAAAATTTAGGGAAGAATTTCCTTGACGTTGGTTTTGGCAATGATTCTTTTGGATAAAACACAGAAAGCACAAGCAACAAAAGCAAAAATAAACAATTCGGACTACATCAAACTAGAAATCTTTTTCACAGCAAATGAAACCGTCAACAGAGTGAAAAGGAAACCTATGAAATGGGAGATAATCTTTGCAAACCTGGTAAGGAGTTAATATCCAAAATATATAAGGATCTCGTATAATGCAATAACAAAAAATTAATTAATCTGATTAAAAAATGGGCAAAGGATCTGAATAGACATTTTGCCAGAGAAGACATACAAAAGGCCAGGTACATGAAAAGGTTTTCAACTTCACTAATCATCAGGGAAATTCAAATCAAAACCACAATGAGGTATCACCTCTCACTTGTTAGAATGGCTTTTGTCCAAAAGAAGAGCTAACAAGTGTTGGTGAGAATATGGAGAAAAGGGAATACTTGCGCACTGTGGGTGGGAATATAAATTGGTACAGCCACCGTGGGAAACAATATGGAAGTTTCTCAAAATATTAAAAATGGAACTGACATATGATCCCGCAGTCCCACTTCTAGTTATATACCCAAAGGAAACAAAATGAGATCTCAAAGCAATATCTGCACTCTCACATTTTTGTAGCATTATAAGATATGGAAACAACCTACATGTCGACTGACAAGTAGATAAAGAAGATGTGGTGTATACATGTGTGTGTGTGTCTGTCGACTTCAGATAGACAGCCTTTCAGGTAGATAAGCAATTTCAGAAACTCAAATGTCTTCAACTCAGAATAATTCTTATGCCAAAGTGGCATATCTGAGGGGGAGTCATATCCTGATTCCTGTCACTGAGAAGGATATTCTCTTCTATAGTCACAATACATTTATCAAAATTAGGAAACTAACACTGATGGATACTAGTATCTAATCCATAGTCCACATTCAAATTTTGTCAATTGTGCCAAAGTCTTTTACAGCCTTTTTTTTTCTTGGTCAATAATCTAATCCAGGATCCTACACCACATTTAATTATGTCTCTTTGTCTCCTTCATAAATTGGAACGCTTCCTCGGGTTTTCTTTGTCTTTTTTGACTTTGACAGTCGAAAAGTTTTGGACAGTTATTTTATAGAATGTTCATCAGTTTGGTTTGTCTGGTGTTTCTTCATGATGTGATTCGGTTATACATTTTGGCAAAAATACCACAGAAGTGAGGTTGTGTCCTTCTCAGTGCACCATATGATGAGGTACAGATTGATGACTTGTTCCAATATTGGCGATATTAGCTTTTAAAATAATTTTTTCCCTCCAGCTTTATTGATGTATAATTGACAAATGAAATTGCACATATTTAAAGTATAGATGGTTTGATATATGTGTACATTGTGTGATGATTACCACAATCAGATTAATTAACACATCCATCACCTCACACAGTTACCTTTTTTTTGTGGTGAGAATGCTTAAGATCTATTCTCTTAGCAAATTTTAAGTATACGATACAATATTGTTAACCATAGTCCCCGTGCTATACACTAGATCTCTAGAATTAGTCATCTTACAGCTGAAGATGTACCATGTGACCAACCTCTCTCTATTTACCCCCCACCGCGGCCCCTGGTAGTCACCATTCTTCTCTCTGTTTCTGTTACTGCAACTGATTTTTTTTAGATTCCACACATAAATGTGATCATACAGTATATGTTTTTCTTGGTCTGCCTTATTTTGCTTAGCATAATATCCTCCAGCTTCATCCATCTTTTCACAAATGGCAGGATTTCCATCTTTCTTATGGCTGAATTATATTCCATTATATATATACATATAATATTCCTTTATATACCATTTTACACATATGTACACCACATTTTCCTTATCACTCATCAGTCGACAGACATGTATATCAATCCCTTATCTGCCTAAAAGCAGAGCCCCCAGAAGAACTCCATTGTCCTAAACCCCTCCCTAGGAGCAACTCTAATCTTCTCTTGGAGACAGAGGTTGCTGCTGCAACCAGACAGACATTGTCACAAACTATCATATCTCCCATTATCCTCCTAAGGGCCTAGTTATCTTTCTAAAAAAGTCATTTGCTTTTCTATAGTGTTCTTTCCCCTGTCCCTTTCCCCTACTAAGTTAGGTATATAGACCCCAAATTCTAACCACACTGTTGAGTTATCATCTCTGAGTGCTCCCACATGTATGTGGGATGCATATGCTAATAAACCTCTGCTCATTATTCTCTTGTTAATACGTCTTTTTTTTTTTTTTTTTTTTTTTTTTTAAGATTTTATTTTTTCCTTTTTCTCCCCAAAGCCCCCCGGTACATAGTTGTGTATTCTTTGTTGTGGGTTCCTCTAGCTGTGGCATGTGGGACGCCGCCTCAGCGTGGTCTGACGAGCAGTGCCGTGTCCGCGCCCAGGATTCGAACCGATGAAACACTGGGCCGCCTGCAGCGGAGCGCGCGAACTTAACCACTCGGCCACGGGGCCAGCCCCTAATACGTCTTTTATTAGCCTAATTTCCAGGGCCCCAGTTGAGAACCTAAGATGAATAGGGGAAAAAGTTTTTTTCTCTCCAACATTAGGAAATACATATTGAAGAATTTAAGGATAAATGAGCATGATGTCTCAAACTTACTATCAGATTTTTTGAAAAAATAATATGATAAGCAGAGAGAGAGGGAGCGATAAAGTAAATGTGGGCAAAACGTAATTCACAACTGGTAGGTCAAGGTAAAGGCTATATGGCAGTTCCTTTTGCTAATATCAAAATAAAATTTATGAAAATATCAGTGGAGGTAAAGAAGCGTTAAGGGCTTTAGAAATTCTAACACGCTAAGTAAATTAAGGTAAATACATCATTTTTGTCATTAGCAACTAATGATGAAAGATCAAGAATATGCAGTGCCTTTAGAAGAAAAACATCATGCTCTTGACCGGATTTGTGAGAATTAAATCAGATAATGAATGTACGTAATATCCACACCATAGTCCCTGGCTTAGAGTAAGCCTATCGTACAGCAGCTTTATTGTTCTTAGTACTATAACTTCCAAGGCAATGATTCTCTGAGCTTCAGTGTCCTCATTAGCAAAACAAGGATGCAATCACCCACCTCATGGGGTTTTGGGGGTTAGCTGAGATATTGTGCATCAGGCATTCAGTATGCTGTCTGACCTCTTATAAGATGCGAGCTCCTGTTATTCAGTGAACTGAGTTCATATGCAGTCTTCCTATAAGGCCTTTATACAGCAAACATCCTGCACCTGGGCAATCATCATGAATTCGATTTGCCACATTTATCCCTCTGAGGAGACAACATGAAGCCTGCTAGTACAGGACCAGGAGAAAGGAACTCAGAGTTACTTTAGGTTTTCCTTTATGTCTGGTCATTGAGTTCATCCTCTCAGCCCTCAAGGAGATGACCTCAACATGAGGTGACCAAACTGTGGTAGATCAATGCTGCCCTTTGGAATCCTTAGGACGTTTCCCGTGGTTGGGGCCAGCTTGGTCCTACTTCGCAGTGCAGTTTGTACTGTGGTACACCTAGTGAGAAGATAGGCTTATAGATGAGTTAGATCATTTCAAATATCTTCTAAGTCATGGATGTTCATTTAAATTATAGTCAGCAGGTGAGTGTGTAGGGGATACTCTTAGAAAAGCTGTCATTTCTGAGGAGGACCCACCTTATTCCCTCTTGATGTAAATATTTGAAGCTAACTGTGATTATTTGATGAAGTAAGATCTTAAAAAGTTTTTTGTCACAAGCTTATAGACATCTTTCAGGTGTTTTCAGCGTGAATTTCGTTGACTCTCTTTTTGAAGAGATGGTGAGAAATCTTTTTTTCTTTCAGCGCTGGTAGATTTCCTCCTTGAAAAGGCCAGTAGGAGCGCCAGGAACAACATTGGCCACTAGAGGGGGGTATTCTGCGTCAACTGGACCAAAAAGGCTGATAACCCTGAACGCCAAACTCCTGGGCAATGAGTGTACAGTCCAAATACACAGGATGTGAGAAAACAAACTCCAGCCATGAACAGGGGTTGCAAGTGACCCCTGAGCTTAGGAACTGCCACAGTCACCTGATTGCTTAGAAGAACTGTGCCCTGCTTACCCACTAGGATTTGTGGGGTTTAGTGAAATGTTTCTGTGTGTCTCCAGGCTATTCATTTATTTTCATAAAATTCATTCATCATTCCATATATATTTATTGGCAGCTACAAAGTGCTTGGCACTCTTTTAGGTACTGGTTATAGCCCTGAATAAAATAAAGTCCCTGCTCCCAGTGAGTTTACATTTTTGTTGGAGGAGACAGATAATAAATAAACAAGCATATGTCTGTCATAGCAGGGGATGTGGAGAGCCATAAAGAAAAGTGAGCAGGATAAGGGGCTTGACTTCAGTAGGTTGCTGTTTGAATAGGGTGGTCAGAGAAAGAATGTGATAGAGAGGCCCTGAAAGAAGAGCGGCAAACTGTGTAGATACCTGATGAGATAGGGTCCAGAGGGAGAACTCCAAGTTCAAAGGCACTGATGGGGGAGCACGCTGGACACAGAAAAGGCATAGCTCTGCAGGTGTAAACCCAGCTGGTTTTCAAAAACCTACACAAGCGTAAATTGGAATAAAACAGAACCCCAAAGCTTCTCTACACCAAAGACCAACAGCATTCATGGAGCATTTTTTGGTCTTAGTTAAGAACATGGCTACAGTGGCAGACAGTTCTTGATTTCAGTGCAGGTGCTGCAACATTTGAATGCAAGTTTAGCAAGTACTAGCATAGACTTCTGGGCAAGTTACTTAACCTCTGTGAGTGGCGGTTTCTAAGGATTATTGTGGAAGTTAAATGAGACTAATGCAAATAAATCACTTAACGTTGAACCTGGCATGTAGAAAGAACACAATAAGAAATTATGTTACCTTACTCGTGGCAAATAATGTAGTCATTGCTGTACACATAGAGCTGGAGTATTAAAAGGAATAGTGCCAAAAGCGTTGGAGGATGGGTACACTTTATTAGTGATGGTGAATTTTTTAAAAGCCAGCAATAGCTGAAAATCCCATATACAAACAAACAAACAAACAAACAAACATGAGATTGCATGAACTATGGAAACATGTACCAAGTATTAAAAATGTATGTATAGTGCCTGATTCTTAAAAAGACCTTAGTGAAAAGCTGGACAACATCTTAAATATTAAAGAGCTATTTGGATGGGGAATATAGAGTGGCGGGGGTGGGAGCCATACTGGAGTTTGCATTCTTCATGAGCAGGGGTTGATGTGGTCTGTTCAAAATATCATCAATGGATATTCTAGAATATCTATATAGGAGGAGTATAGGGAATGGGTTAAGTGTTAGAGGGATCAAGAAATGGATTTTTCTTGAAGGTCTTTTTTGAAAAGCAAACACTCCTGTTTATCTGAGATAATTGGGGGTGGGATGGTGGTGATGGGGATTATTGGGGAACTGCAGCCATCTTTTGGCCTGAACAGTGGGCCCCAGTCTGTACCAAGAACCCAGACTTTCTTCTGCACACTCAAATCACAAGGAAGTCTTTACTGTAGGGAAGACTGACATGTTGGGGTGACATGGGGTAAACCATACCTGTCTTTTTAGGCTTCACTAGGCCCTGAGGAATTCTGTTAACAGAAAGGATATACCCATCTTCTGTTGTGACTTCATACTCCTCACAGGGATAGCCTTGATGTTGGATGATTTCACTCTATGGAAAAAGCACAATTTCTTTTGAGTTCAATTCTGTATGGCTATATTCTCAATGCTCCAAAAGTAAATAGTAGATTCCTTGATGCTGGAAGACATACACAAGAAATTCCTTGCTTTTCCCCTCCTAATCATGTTATCTTAGAAAAATTAGCCAACTCTCTCTAGTTCCCATTTTCTTTATCTTTAATGTGGAGACGGGACTAAAATGTGATTCTCAAAGTGTGGGCCCTGGACCAAAAGCATCAGCATCACTTGAACACTTGTTAGAAATACAAATTATCAGTTTCTACCCAAACCTATTGAATAGGGAGCTCTGAGAATGGGACCCAGAAATTTGTGTTTGAACAAGCACGTTAGGAAATTCTGATGCACTCTAATGTTAGAGAATCATTGGACCAAAACCTGGGTGTGCATCAGAATCATCGGGGGCACTTAAACATACAGATTCCTGGGTCCACTTTGGGTTAAGGATCAGGTAATTCTAATATAGCCAATGGAACACTTGTCCCAGGACAGCTTTTGAGAATCCCTGGGCCATCCATTCCCAAAGGTTCTTTGCAACTCTAAAACCACAGACTCAAGAGCAGTAGTTCTTAATGTTTTTAGGTCAAGGACCCTCAGAGAATTTGAGGAGGACTATAAAAATGGATACACACAGGGGCACACAAATGCATTTTTGCATACAGTTCCAAGGGTTTCAGATTCTTTGTTGCCTATATATGGACCTCTGGTTAAGGACCCTACTCTACACAGTGGTTACATATAGAAACTCTTTGTAAAATATGACACTGCGTAGATCTCCTCAGTATCCTCGCTGTTCTCCCGCACTGTTGCCACCCAGAGAAGAAGGGAATTATTTCTATCAGCTGCTGCTTTAAAAGGAACAAGAGAGGAGAAAGCAAGTTGCCAAACACCCAAGTGTAGTATATGGGGAAAAGGGCATAGTGGGTAAGAGAAAGGCCCTGTGGTCCCACTGCTGGAGTTTTAATCCTGCTCTAACACTAATACATAAATCAGCTGTATGATCTTGGGAAATTTAGTTAAACCTGTCCCTATTCCTCAGTTTGCTCATCTGTAAGTTAGGTATACCAATGGTTGATACTCCATGGGATTATTGCAAAGAATGTAAAAGGATAATGAGCACAGAATACTAGCTAGATTACCTGGCACATAACAGGTGCTCAATGAGCATTAGCTACTCCAATAATTAAAAGTCAACCTAACCCACTCAAGTATCTCCTATTCATCTTCCAGACTTCAGATTAAGAAACTTTTCTTCAGAAAAACTCTCCTAAATTCTCTGCATTAGGTTCCCCTATTGTCTGTTTTCTTCTTTGATTTCACTGCTCTTGTAATGAGTAATTGAGTGTCTGTCTTCCCTGCTGGATTGTAAGCTCCATGAAGTCATGGCTTTTGATATTCTTAGATGTTTCTGCAACCTCAGTGCATGGCACAGTTTCAGGGGCCAAATGGATGCTCAATTAAAGCTCACAAATACATGAATGAAGCCACTTGTATAGTAAAATATACAGTAGATTATGTCCACATAAATCAGTATACAGGGCCAAACCCATTTAGACTCTGAACCATTTTTATTCTAATTCATTTAATTTATATAGGCAATTATATGAATTCCCTATTTTACTTTGCCTCTCCATTTATAACTGCTCACTGACAGAGTCCAATTCAATAGATTTTGGTCTTAGGGCTCCTGAAGCCCCAACAGTGTGTAGGTGCTGAGCATACTCAGTGGGAGAGGCCTAGGGAGATTGGCTCTGCCTACAGCTAAAGAGATTCCCTCCACCCAATAAGCCGGAGGAATTTGCGTGGGACCGCCTCAGGGCCAGAACTATGGCTCCTAGTGATCTACACTAATTTGTTAACTATCTGGATGAACCATCAAAAGACTATCATTGGAATGGCCGAAAGAAACCTACTATTTGGCATCATGTAGATTCAGAATATTTCTATAGCCTGTTAGAGTTTTAGAATCTATTCAAGGAAGCTTCTGTAAAAAGGGTCTTAAATCTTTATAAAGACATGTTAAATCTATGACAAATCCGTGCAACACGAACATCACACAGTGTCATCTTACTCATCTGGGGGGTAGCCTCTCCTCAGCTAGAAGTGTTTATTGCATAGTGGTTTCTATTATGAACTCTGTGTTTGGGCAGGTCTGCATTTAAATTGTAGCTCTATCACCTATCAGTGGTGTAGCCTAATTTAAGTTGCTTAACCTCTTTAATCTCAGTTCCTTGACTTGAAAAATGGGGATGATCGTATCTACTGCATAGGGCAATGAAGATGAAATGAAATTGTATCTCTGTGGCTTTCCTCACAATGTCTGCTATGGGATAAGTGTTACTATATGGAAGACACTATTAAAACTTAACTAAGAATTTGAAAGTAAGTAAAAAAATTTTTTCTGGGATGTGCAAAGAGAAGTTAAATCATTTATGAATTTTACTCACAGAAGGCCCTCTCTAGCATTCATTAGGATCTTTTATTGTCAGTCAAGGAGTCACCAGTCCAAAACAGGAAAAAAGAATAGACTAGAATGGTACAGGATGCTAGATGAGGGTCTCCTAATAGTAAGAAGAGAGGGCTAACACTTTTCCAATATGGGAGAAAGTAGAAAAAGAATACAAAGCACTCACAAAATGGAAATAATCAGTGGTCTGGGCTTGGCTCAAGATACTGAGAGGATTTCTCTGCTCATAGAATGAACCTAATAATTTTTTTAAAGAGTTAAATTGTGTTTGAAGCTCAAAGGGATTAAGTCATTTGCCCAAGTTTACTGAATTTGTTGGAGGAGAACCCAGGTCTACCAATACCCAGTTTAGCTTTGTTTCCAGTACAATATGCTAACTTACGACTATATTCTGCTAGCAAAAATCACCACCATATATAAGTATAATACACAATGCAGCTAATACACAGATGCAAACTTTAACATGTAAGGAACTTCATTTCCCCCAAAACATGGAAAATCCCAACTTACGATATTCATGAATGCTTCTGGATCCACATCTTTAGTTGGCATTCGTGCTGAATTCACATTTCTTTGAAACAAATACACCACCAGAATCAGAAGCCACATCTCCGCTCTGTGTGAAACAATCCACTCTCTTGACAAGATTTTTGACATGGTCCAACATCTGCATTTATTTTTTCCTGGTAATATAACAACTAATTCTAAAGTCAGAAGGATCTGTAGGTTTAACAACTCTTTCATATATTTTCCAGTTGTGAGTCCTTCCTCAGATACTGAAGCAAATTAAACAAGCTTGGTTGATAGGAATGAAAGAACACAAAGTAGGGTAGAAACACTGTCTAGGATGTCCCAACACCATCTGACTCCTCCACTCCCTCACACAACCCATAGTCACCAATCCATTAACTTGTAGGTGTGTCGAACTTTCTTTGATGCAACCTGGTGTTACGTGCATAGGCCACAGCCAGTAAAACCCCTGTTCTTTATCATCAGGTAATAAGGACCATAAGGAGCATCTTTTTCTTTTTTTTCCTAGTTTTTGTCTTTCTTTGATAGATAGGACGATATAGAATCTGCAGAAAACATTTATAAATTTCTACAGTCAGACCCTAGGGATTCAAGGATCACTGTCCTTTGGTTAAGTATCAATGTAGTGGTAAGTGTTTTTATTTAAAATGTCAAAAAATTTTAGACCATTTTGTATTTTTAGTGATGGGTGAGAATATTGGAAGAAAATGAATCTTCCTTGTTTAGGTTATTTCTATCTAGCTCAATTAAAAGACATGTAGAAAAGGTTTCATTTTGTGTTGTAATCACTAGCTAATTGTTGAGAGATTAATTAGATGAATGCCTGGTAATTAAATTGTCTGCAATAACTGAAATGAGTTGCAGCCTAATTATTTTTGTAAACTAAGTGTTCCAGTTCAATTGACTGTGTGACAATGTTAGCAATTTCTTAACCTATTGATATTTAAGCAGGCCAGGAGGATAGGCTTATTTTCGTTTTCAGTAAAGAATGTGTTAGAATTTAAGAACAAATATTATTTAAAGTAAAATGTTTCTTTACTTTTACATCAAGTCTTCAGAACTGAGCTAACTAACAGCAGCCGCACTGATATACAGACTTTTGGAATATGATTGGTGAAGGAGCCAAAGCTGGAACAGGAATGATGAGTCTGTGAGAATGTACCTGCCCACAGTCTCAGCCTCACCCATTCTGGGCTGGCTGCATGGGTATAAGGAAGCGAGCCTGCAGCTCTTATCTGAACTAATGTCAACCATTCCCACCATTGTTGAGCTGACGCATGCTAAGGAGGAGCAAATTGACCTACTTTAGAAGAGCAGAGGAAGCACTTGTCTCATGCTCTGCAGAGTCCCACATCCTAGGATCCATTGAACTCATTCTGAAGTTACGCAAAAATGAGATTTTAGAAAAGAACTTTAGTTCCCACTGTTGACTTTTTAAGATTTTAAGATGTTATATAGCCAGAAAAGAAAATATTATTCAGCTGTTGTGTGAAGACATGTTAAATGACTTACCTAGCTAGACAGTGGCAAGGCCAGAACTAAGATTCAGGTATTTTAATTCATTGTTTAGTATTATACCACATGGAAAAAGAAAATGTAACATTTCAATATCCTCTTCCCCATTCAAGAATAAAGCCTCACTAATATCAAAAGCAATTGCATGAGGGGCCAGCCCAGTGGTGTAGGGGTTATGTTTGCATGCTCCACTTTGCTGGCTCAGGGTTCATGGATTCAGATCCTGGATGCAGACCTACATGCCACTCATTAAAGCCATGCTGTGGTAGTATCCCACATACAAAACAGAGAAAGATTGGCACAGAGATTACCTCAGGGACAATCTTTCATACACACGCGCACACACACACACACACACACACTAAAGTAATTACATCAATCCCTGTGAATTGTCTCTTTAAAAAGTTCCCTCCTAGATTTAAAATTCAAAATAATTCTCAATGATTTCATTATAAATTTGAGAGCTATAATCTACTCACATTTGCTCCAAAATATTCAGGTAAGATCAACTCTCATGTTGGATTAATAGACTTGTGAATACTGTACAGACTTGTTAATGAAAGAACCGATGGCAATAACGTAACTGATTAGTTCAGAGAGAATCTTATGTTCTTGGTGCTAGGACTATCCTCTCTTCTTTTTTTCACCTTCTAGAAGCTTTGTCCTCCTTTGGTGCAAGCATAATGCAGAGAAAATAGAATTCGATTTGGCTCTGAAATTCTTGGGTAACTTCATAAGCTTACAGTTGTCACTTGGAAGCAGGAAAGTGACATCCTATGTCCAGCTCAAAGAGCTACATTTTGAACAAATGTTAAATAAGTACAGTTCTTCCTCACTGCAGAATTTTAACAATGCCCTTATTGCCGTAGCAACCCACAGCCCATGGAAAGCATCACACTATAAAGAGAGATGGGGGATTTGTGACCTCCAACTTAGAACTGTGTACCATAAGAGATTTATCTTTAGAGGTTTCTATCAAGGAAGTTTGTGACCCTTTAAAATGTGTCTTTTTGCTGTCTCGACACAGAAAGAAAGAGGATCTGAAATACTCTGATATCTTGAAACTAAGAAAATGGGTCTTCCTTAATGTGCACTATCTATAAATCATAATATCAAAATCCCATAAAAGCAACAGGTCAAGTAGGAGAAAGGTTAAGGAAAATCTTTCTAAGAAAAAAGATAGAGAATCAATACGCAGTTTTAACCATAGGTGTACCGTGTGTAAAAACTATAAAAATTGAAACAGTTAAACAAACAGGACAAAAACAAAACAAAACAGAACAACCAGTAACAAAAGAGTGGGGAAAAAAGCAAAACAAAAAAACCTCTGAAACTGGGAGAGATTTTCCTCTTTTCTGTGTGTGTTGTAGGTTGAAGGGCTCTCGAGTTAGTGCTGCTTTCCCCCAATGTTGAACTGAGTTTTATTAAAACAATTCTTGCAGATTTTATAAACGGAAGCCTTGAGTCCGGTGGGGGCTGTGCCATGAAATCTACCTGAAAGCCCAAGTCAATGCTCTTGTCAGAATCACTCTACAAGAAAATGACTAAAATTTTCATACTGAGTCAAACTCACAGCCTTCTTCTTCATCTCTCAACGTGAGTTATCTCACAGGAGACTCCAGGCCTTCAGGCAAATGGTGTTTTGGTTTGTCAGACATGCCTGAAAATTTATGATTCACATTTTGACACCTATCAATATCTCTCAGCTACGTTAATCAACATGTGATTGTTCTTTTTTTTTAAAGAAAAATATGAACTTTTATTTTAGAATAAAGTTATTAAATTCTAAAATAGGTTGTAGTTAAATTTAGAAATTTGGGGAAAATATTTTAAATATTATTGCCAAACAACATAACAGAATGTACTTAATGCTTATGCTTAAACAGAAGGAAAACTATAAAATTTTAAAATAAAAGTTGCACAACATTGAGGCTGGGATTATAGCCTCTCAGAACTGTTTTGGCAGCATTCCATAAGTTTTAGTACATCACGTTTCCATTTTCATTTATTTCAAGATATTCTTTGATTTCCCTTTTAGTTTCTTTTTTGAATGCATTGGTTGTTCAAGAGTGTATTGCGAAGAGTGTTTGTGAATTTTCCAACTTTCCTCCTGTGATTGATTTCTAGTTTCATACTATCATGGTCAGAAAAGATACTTGGTATGATTTCAATCTTCTTAAACTCAATAAGACTTGTTTTGTGACCCATCATATGCTCTATCCTAGAGAACGTTCCGTCTATACTTGAGAGCAATGTGTATTCCTCTGCTATTGGATGGAAAGTTCTGTATATGTCTCTTAGGTCCATTTGGTCTAACGCATGGTTCAAGTCCAACATTTCTGTGTTGATTTTCTGTCTAGATGATCTATCCATTGTTGAAAGTGGGATACTGAAGTCCCCTATTTTTGCTGTATTGTCTGTTTCTCCCTTCATATCTATTAGTATTTGCTTAATATATTTAGGTGCTCCAATGTTGGGTGCATATATATTTACAATTGTTATATCTTCTGGATGAATTGACCCCTTTACCATCGTATAATGACCTTCTTTGTCTCTTGTTACCATTTTTAGCTTAAAGTCTATTTTGTCTGATAGAAATACAGCTACTCTTGATCTCTTTTGGTTTCCACTTGCATGGAATATCTTTTCCCATCCCTTCACTTTGAGCCTAGGAGTGTCCTTAAACCTGAAGTAAGTCTCTTGGAAGCAGCATGTGATTGAGTCTTTTTTTAAATCCAGCCAGATACCCTATGTCTTTTGATTGCAGAATTCAATTTGTTTACATTTGGAGTAATTATCCATATGTAGGGACTTACTATTGCCATTTTGTTAATTGTTTTCTGCCTATTTTGTAGTTCCCTTGTTCTTTTCTTGCTTTCTTGAGACTTCCTTTGTGAATTTACAAACTTCTGTAGTGGTATGCTTTGATTCCCTTCTCTTTACCTCTTTTATTGCAGGTTTTTGCTTTGTGGTTACCACCAGGCTTACATAAAACACCTTATAGATATAACAGTCTGTTTTACACTGATGATAATTTAACTTTGATTGCATGTAACTCTACTCTTTTACTCACTCTCTGTTTATGTTTTTGATGTCACACTTTACATCTTTTTATATTGTGTATTCATTAATAAATTATTATAGCTATAGCTAAATTTAATACTTTCTTCCTTTAACCTTTATACTAGAGTGAAGTAGTTAACACACCACCGTATTACAGTATTAGAGTATTCTGAATCTGACTGTATACTTAGCCTTTACCAGTGTGCTGTATATTTTCATATGTTTTCACGTTATTAATTATCTCCATTTTGTTTCAGCTTAAAGAACTTCTTTCAGCATTTCTTGTAAGGCAAGTCTAATGATGATAAACTCCCTCAGTTTTTGTTTGTTAGAGAAAGTCTCTATCTCACCTTCATTTCTAAAGGAAAATTTTCTGGGGTAAAGTATTCTTGGTTGGCAATTTCTTTCTTTCAACACTTTGAATATATCATTCAATTATCTCCTGGACTGCAAAATCTCTTCTAAGATGTCCACTGATAGCCTTATGTGGGTTCTCCTATATGAGAGAGTTTTTTTTCTCATTCAACTTTTAAAATTCTCTGTTTGTCTTATAATGTGTCTTGGAGAAGATCATTTTGAGTTGAAATTTAGGAGTGTCCCATTAGCTTCATGAACTTGGATGTCCAAATCTCTCTCCAGATTTGGGAAAATCTCCACCATTATTTCTTTAAATAAGTTTTCTCCTCCTTTCTCCCTCTCTTCTCCTTCTGGACTCTAGTGATATGTCCATTG